CCGGAGACATTTCTGAAATTTAAGTATGTAAACGTAACCAAAATGGGGAAGAAATCATTCCAAAGTTACGGAAAATCAAAATTAAAAAAATATATAAAAAATTTAAGAAAGGTTTTTTTAATTTAATGTCGACGATTGTCCTAGAAAATTCAAATCGAATTCGTTCCTGTTAAATAAAATGCTTAAAACAAAGGAAAAGTTGATTTAATGGATAGAAAATCCATTATAGTAATTAATATGAGGAGATCTGATTCTTCCCCTGAGTTCTTAAATTCAAAAATTCTTTAAAAAATACAAAAAGGAAGGAGATCATGGAGAGATCGAGGAATTTAACTGCTATGATCCCAACATTGAAAGAACTAAACAACACATTGCTTAAATCAAAAACTCAAATTTGCAGACAAAAACTGTAACACCCCACATATCTTAGTGAATAATTTAAAAATTAGTGTTCTTTAGTTTATAGTTTTAGAGATTAAATTGATTGAATTTAAAGTTTGGAGAGTTTAAGTAGAATTAAGTAAAAGTTGAATGACCATAACTCAATTATCCCAATTTTGCTTAACACATGGCATTGTCCCAACCAAGTTTTTTGGTCTTTGTCGGTGGAAGCTTGGATAAGCCTCCAAAAGGCTCCCAAAAGGCTCCCAAAAGCCTCATTTGGTTTTTCTATGTCTTCCTCTTCCACTTCCATCCTTTTCTTCCTCCTTTCTCCAACCAAGGTTAAGGTCATTTTGTTAGGTAAGTATAAATTTTAGTTATGAATTTTGGATTAGAGTTTTGGGTAATTTAAATTGGTGAGATTTGGCTTTAATCCTTTGATTTATAAGATTTTTGTGTATTAAACTTTTATTAGGAATATCCTTAATTTTGGGGTTTTTACGGTAAAGATAGTGAGTTAGTCCTTTCTATGGTTTGATTTGGGTGTGATTTTTGCTATAGGAATTAGAAGGAAATTGTATTATTTGCGAAATACTGTTCATGATTACTGTTCACGATTACTGTTTACAATTACTGTTCACGCATTATGCTTTGATCCCTTTCAATAGGGAATCCTAATATTATTTTGGACATATTATGAATTTGTTTGACATGCGTATGTGTTTGTGGCTATGGAGTAAGTGGACCTAAGCTTAAAGTTTGGGGTATTCAGTGGACCCTTCGGGGTATTTAGTGGACCTCTTCGCAGTAGGGTTAGTACCGTGATTAGCTCCGGTACAGTGTTGCTAGCACATCTCAGTGGACTCCATAGCATTGTGTGATTTTCGATTTTATGCATTGCGCTTGTGACGTTATATTTGTGAGCATATGATTTTAGTATATGAATTCAATTTAGACATTTGCGCTTATGATTTGAGAATTATAATATTATGTGATCTGATTCTGTTGTGTCTTATACTCTTTGTGTGGATAGGTCTAAGGGTTTTAGAACCCAAGTTTATAGTTTAAGCTTATTACTTACTGGGCTGTGAGCTCATAAAATCCCCCATTTCAGATCAGTAGATCGAGGTAGCAGCGTCTCAGTTTAGGAGCTCTTGGCACGAGACTCGCATGTTCGTTGTATGTCAAAGCTAGGACCTCGTGTTTTCAATAAGGAGGCAGATCGATATCTTACCAAAACCATGACCCAGCTTTTGTTTTTCGGAAAGCTTTGGAGAAAAAATTTGCCTCATATAATTTTTATGTAAATTGACTTTATGTATAAAACTTTTAAATTAATTATAAATGAGCTTAACTTGACTTATTTTACAACTTTGAATATTTTGGCACTTTTTCAATATATATATATATATATATATATCGACTTGTTAAAGTGATTTTTCTTTACAGGTATTTATGATTTTTTTCAAAAGTGTTTTTATTTCCGCTGCAATTCTTCATTATAAATTTTGTTTCCGAACTCTTCTAGGACTAAGAGGGCCTAAGGAGGTGTGTCATAAAAACCTTACAAAATTAAAACAAACTACAAGGAAGAAGGATTAAAGAGAAAACAAAAACTTAGAAAAGCTCGAAATAATGAACAAAATCAACAAGATAACACATGGGGAACCAAACAAACTAATACATGTTTGGTTGAAGGAGCAGTACTGAAAATCGCGAAAAGGGTTTGAGGGAGAAGGAAGAACAAACTTGGGAGTGCTCTACTTTATAACGAGCTTCTCAAATTCATCATTAGAATTGCACAACTCCATCTCTGTTTTTGCCGTTGGTTCTTCTTCTTCTTCTCACTTCCTTTCTTCCCTCTCTTAAACAACTTTCCTCCTCTGATTCAAGCAAAGCCAAGCAAAGCCAAACGCCAGAATGCCCAGAAAGACACCAATTTGGGTTCCATCGAACCCAGCAGCAGGGTTCAAGAATAAGAGCCAGGCTTGGGGGGGTAGGGGGTAGCCAAGAAAACTATGCCCCAAGACAAGGAGGGCAATCGCATTTAAACCCCTCCAACTTTTTAATACAACTCTCATTGCTAGTTGTTCCACAGTATTCACAAGAAGACTTGAAATGAGCTCTCTTGCTGCCAGGATGCCCACAGAAGGAACAATGAG